CTCTCCTCTAGACTCTACTCTAGTTGATAAATAGGTTCTGTAAGTCACATAGAGTAGTACATTCCTACAATACAAGCCCTCGAAGAAGAAATCCAGTTACTCTCGTCACTCGTAGTCTCAGTAAACACCTTTCTACAATATCAATTAGGTACTCAAAGCCTTGAGAAGGTAGGGCTACATTATAAAAGGTAGATAGAGTATCCTAATCCACAACCACAAAGATCCATTCACAACATACCCCGAGCCCCAATTCTCATTACCAAGCATACAATAACTAATTACTGTACTCAAACCCCCAGCTACAAATTACAAGAACTCCAGTACAGTACCCAGTAAGGACGAGGACCCACTTCACAATAGCACGTCCTAGGTAATGGGTACTCAGCATACCATACAAGGTCAATTAATTCATATATCTAAATATGGGAAATATCTGTATTCGTACTACTCTCCCTTCCAGATCTACTCCAGCTTCCTCCCCTTCAGAAGAACCTCCCCTTCCTCCACCCCCACCCACCCAGCTATTCTACAAAACGGGCGCCCCCAAAATACACACATCCAAAATATGCATATACTGACGGGTTGTTGGGGCTAAATTAACTTCCTTCCTCTGCTCCCTTCTTCCAGTCCATCCCTCATAAGCCAGCCTTCATATCAAGGCCCATCTCTCATCCTATCCCATGAAAAATAAAACTCCTCCCTTAGATCGTTGGCGATTTATTATCCTCCACGGGTGGCGAAAAAAAAGTAATCAAAGGGTATCTGATAACCCCCAGTCATCGCTCAATAGATGAACTGGCCAGTCCACATAACTGTGAGATCGTACTCCAACGATCTAAGGGAATGCCCAACTAAAGAAAAGTAAACGACAAAGCAAAATCGCTAATCGAACGGTCAGAACAAATGGGATGACGAGAAAGGCGAAAAGAATCATATGCAGTGATTATTCTGACTGTCGTATACGGTCGCGAATATCTTGATCAAGCTGTCGTGGAGCGTGGGGAGGACGGCCAGGCGTAGAATGGTGTTTGGGTATCTCAAATGACGGAAATAGGTGTTGCTGCTCCCTGAGCACAACAAACTCATTGTAAAGCAAACAAAGTAATCATCGAATCACACCAGCTTCCAACTGTGAAGGTGTTGCTTGAGAAGTACCACCCTGTTCTACAGGTGTAGCCTGCTGCTGCCGGTTGCGACCTGGTAGGCGCATGGCCGGCATGCTGAATGAGCTGAGGGGGTTCCATCTTCTTGATGGAGATGCGTCCCCTGATGAGTTGTTCGGCTCGGCAGGGGTTGCATCTCTCTGAGCACGTCTATCCCTCCTACTCGAAGTTCGAGCAGCATTTTGATCTCCGGAAGCTGGCGGAGGAGCTCCAAACCGACCTGCAAACGCAAGTCTCCCAGGGCGTATATTGGACCAGTGTGTACTGGCTGGTGCTTGTGGCATGTTAACTCTTGCTTCGCTTCTATTTCTTCTTGCGGATCGCTCAGCTTCCGCAGCAATTTCCCCTTCAGGTCGTGGTTTGGGTGTCCAATAATCAGCTTTGCATAGAGGGCAGCATGCACGACGACTAGTTAACCAAGGATCCAAACAACCAGCATGGAAGGCATGACCGCAGGTCAATCCGCGAATATCATCGTCATCTTCCAAAGTATCGATACAGATTGCGCAAGAGTCGCCTGGGTTAGTCAAAAGTTCAGGAGGTACGGCTGTGTGAATATGGTCATCATCGTCGTCGTCATCCTCACTTGTAGTTGTTGGATGTTTTTCAACGGTACTAGTAGTAGTACGGACTTGCTCTAGTTTGTTATTCGCCTCGGTTTTAGCAGTTTCGTCCTCCTTTTGTATGGCGGATGGCTCCTCTACACTCTTTCGATCTTCCGACGAGTTTCGTGGATTGGCTTCCTTATTGGAATTGGCGGTACCAGGTCTGACTGAATACTTCGTTTCTACTGGCGATGACGGAATGACCCCCTCTACATCGCGTACACTCCCAGCTCGACTCGATGGTGCAGTAACGCCGCCGTTGGTTGGTAGACCTTCTCTCGCCCGTGAAGCGACCCAATTCTTGTACTTTGTCAATGGGAATCGCTCGTTGACCTCGTCCATGGTCATCAACCTTTTCTCTCTTCTCCGGCGTCGCGGATGGGGGTTCATATCGTTCATATTAATTGGGTCCACTTCCTCGCCATTCCGCAAGGCTCGATTGCGAGCGTTGTAACGAAAACAATACTTGACGCCTACAATGATCCTTCGCACGATGTTAGCTAGTCTATCTACATGCCGGATCGTTTGTAATTGTGATTACCAAAGATTCGTAAAAACGACACCAAAGCCTAGCGCAACAAAGAACAATAATGGCGAGCTCGTCGGTCCGCCGGATCCTGAATTACTGGCCATGGTGGGCGGTGGTGCGGTTGGTGTTGTTGAAGCTGGAGGTTGACTTGGGAGGGGAGATGGGTCACTTGATGGTGTTTGTCGTGCTTGAAGCAGGCCTCGCTCGATGACTTGCAAGACCTCGACCACGGCTCGATTCACGATGGGCATTCTGAAGGTTGTACTAGAGGTCGTGTACCACCCGTCTTGTGCTGTGGGCAAGCGTTGGTGCGGCGTAGCGTGGAAGGAACGGCGGGCTGATTGCAGCAGCAGCAGCAGCAGCAGCAGCAGCAGCGAAAACAGCCGTTTGCGACGTCAGAGTTAGTGTCAGATTCCTTGGGAGGTCGACAATGGTGGACCTCAGCAATGTATCGACGACATTCGGATGAAAAGGTTCAGAGGTAAATTTGGGGGAGGCAGCGGTTGATGAGGTTTGCAAAGGCTGAGCAAAGGGTTTCGTATTGTTGTTAGGCGAATGCGCTGTGTGGATTAGTAGGATTGATTAGGTTGTGGTTGGGGTTGGGGGGTGTTTTGGTGGTGGCGGACAGGGCGGTTTAGGAAGTTGTTAAGAGAGGACAGAGCGCGGGCGGAGGTGGGTAGTTGTGGATAGGCAGGTGTAGGGAGTGAGTGGAGTGGAGTGGGAGTGGAGTGTAGGGAGTGGGAGTGGAGTGTAGGGAGTGGGAGTACGGAGTTTACGAGGGGACGAGGAGGTGAGATTTGAGATGTTTTAGTGCCGATCCGAAAGCGGGCGGTTACAGTTGCAGTTGCGACGAGGGGAGAGTGTGGAAGGGAAGGAGAAGGATGGATGCACGATGGGGATGGAGATGGGGGCGGAGAGATGAGCACCATAGAGTGGAAGACGACTGCCGTACTCCTTACACCTGCAAATAATAGAGAGTACCGCCGCGAGAATGTGACGATGAATGTTTGGGTGTGACTGTACTGCTATGCCACCACAATCCCAGAATGGAGTGTTTATTTGGAATTCGTTTACTTATGATGGCATCAGATCCAATCAAACTAAAACTCGGGTGATTTACCGTACAATCAGTCCAGTCAAGTCCAGTCAATCCCGTCAGTACTCGAGTACAGTCAGTCAATACTCGGTACAGTCGTAGTGAGATTCGACTATTGAATCCCGGGATTGCAGTCTCCGCCAGTACAGCTCGAGCGTGTAGATCCAGACACCTGAACGGGCCAAAAAGACTAAAGTCTACTGTAAAGAATCTTATCCAATGAAATTGACTTTTCATCGGTCGGCACGGACCTACAGTGCCGTTAACATCGTTCTCCATACAATCCTTATTGGATCCTTATGATGCACCTCACCCTGCACATTTCACGGTACGGTACATTTTTGCTGTACATTTCTTTCTTCTACATTCTACATTTTCCCGAACTATGTATTACACTCCGATGCTTCGGCGAAGGCTTCAATAGTGCAATCGCAATACTGTAGCTGACACTGACACCTGAGTAGTGACGAATTGGATCGCTAGCAATAATATTTACTTTCATCCGTCCAGGCGCGTATTATTGAAAAGACAAGGGATGGCCCAGCCGTGAAGCGCTAGCGTAACCTTGATCTGTATTTTTCTTGCAGCTGCCTAGCATGGCATGGCTGGTGCTTTCAGACCCCCTCGTCCACTCGGATCCACCACTGCGATCCAGCCATTCACCAGAAACAACGTTGACGTCCTCGCCTTGGCAATCTACCAAGAATGAACAAGAATCCACAAGCACCCAGATCATAGATGGACCCCTCAGCAGTGGCAAGAGAGCAAGATGTGTGGAGGATGACCCAATGGATCACGTGTGCATACAAATACTACTGGTATCCGCCCGTGCGCCCGGCGCTCTTCCACTTCGCTTCGTTTTCCATGAGGCTGGGACACGGAAGATCGCGTATGAACTTGGCTGTGTATCTGACAAAACCAAGAATTACACCGCCATGTGTGGAGGAGGGGTTGGGGGTTAGGAAGAAAAGGAACTTGCAAACGAAAACACAAAGAATAGGACTGGAAAAGTCCATACAAAGTACTCCACACTCCTTCCTCTTTGTTTGGCCACGGCAGCTCAGAAACACGACGGATCAGGAGTTGAGGCGGTCATCGTCAGCTCTTTGTCTGACTGATAACAAAGGGGCTTCGCTACGCTGCTTCTACTCCTGCGGCAAACGACGCGCTCAAGTACAGCAGGCAGTACTCCGTACACCTGCATAGTTTCCCATACCGTTCGCATGCAATAAATGCATTACTACAGTAATACAAAACTGCATGCGCAATTGAAAGCTTCAGATGAACTATCAACTCTATCCGCCGCGGCAAGCTACTTTCCAAGTGCAGGTACGGTAAATCTACTGACCAACGAAGCTTGTATTAAACTTCCGAGATAAGTTCTACATGTACGAGGTTCAAGGTTGATGCAACAGGAACAAAAAACGTGATGGTTCACGTTTAGAGTAGACACGATTCAATGGATGGTTCATGCTTGATCCATTACCTTACCGTTCGTATGGTACAGGCCGCTGAGGTCATGTCATGAATCCAATACCAGTGCAACCTGCATCTCAGCTTCATGCGTCTAAGGATATAAGATATATTCCAAAAAAGAAAATCATCGCCATTTCTGAGTTGATGATGACTCCGCATCAAATTTCCTTGAAACCATCTTCCACTATCCAGACTCGACTTCCCAGAGTCTCCGTAGAGAGTTCGGAGAATTCGGCCAAATGACGAGATTCACTTGTAAATCATGCTTGGTGGTGAATCCTTATGTGCATCTCCATCTGTCCATATGCACCCATCAAGCTTTTCTCATCCTCCTCACCAGCGTTTCCAGAAGTACGACGAGGACGTTTCTGTCAGATTGCGTCGTCAACTCCTCAACTTTCCAGAAGTTCCTCCACAAACTCGCAAGAACCCCGACGCACGGCCCCTGTGCAAGCACCCTACACGCCTACACCCTAGCGGTCGATCAATTTTCGACCTCATGAGGCGCCAATAATTGTACGCCTCACCCAATTCATCAACATTTCATGCGAGAAATCTCATCACACGCCCTACCATCCCGGAACGAGTATCCCTTTGAGAGAATACCGATCTTACTTCGTCTGCTGCTATTCTTGGGAAGTTTCCATTGCTTGCCGATTATCCAGAGAACCCTGGAGCAAAACTTGCGTGGAAGAAGGAAGGAGGAAGATCTGCCTGTCCAATTTAGGCATTTGAAGGGCATCTTTTTTACAATACCGGTACGGATACGGGTCGTTGTACATCCGCGCGAGATCGGCCGACAAACGAAAAAGATTTGGAAGGACGATCTTGCATCACGAATCACGCTCGATACCTTTTTTTCCCTTTACAGCCCTGTGTGTTACTGGGAGGCATGGCGCCCACACAGCTTCCCGCTTCGGGGAACCCACTGTATGTTTAAGCCTTGCCTTGCTTGCTGTCTAAGCTTGGATGAGGTCGTCCGTCACCTCATATCCAATTCCGTCCCTGGGCTACGGATGTCACGAGATCTTTGACTAACTCTGGACGATGATTCTAGCGCGTTCTTTGATATCACTCTTGGAGGTTAGTAATCTCCATCATCCGATTCTTCTAGCCCTCCGACCAGGATTATCTCATCAACCCCTGGAGAGACGAACTTGAACCAGCTGGAGGTGTCGGGTTTCTGGAATCTCTCTCTCCATCCACGTGATATCCGATGCAATATCAAACCCGACATACCCCAGTTTCAACCAGCTAACACATATGGCAAAATACAGGCGAACCACTCGGACGAATCCAATTCGAACTCTTCGCCGATGTCGTTCCCAAGACGGCCGAGAACTTTCGACAGTTCTGTACGGGCGAGACGAAGAATCATCTCGGTCGTCCGCAGGGATATAAAGGGAGCAAGTTTCATAGAATTGTAAGCTTACTCTACCCCTCCTCTTTTGCTGTCAAAAATATCTCGTTTCTCCATCTTCTTACTTGATTTTTCGTTTGCTGGATAGATGGATGGATGGATGGAGAGAAATACTGACTAATATTGATTCGATCTTAGATCAAAGATTTCATGTGTCAAGGCGGAGACTTCATGAACGGAGATGGTACCGGTTCAACCTGTATCTACGGACTCAAAACCTTCGACGATGAGAACTTTGTGAGGAAACATAATGAAGCCGGGTTACTTTCTATGGCTGTATGTTCCTTCTTCCCTCCTCACTCCACATCTCCATCCACATCTCCATCCACATCTCCATCCACATCTCCATCCACATCTCCATCCACATCTCCATCCACATCTCCATCCACATCTCCATCCACATCTCCATCCACATCTCCATCCACATCATCATCCTAACACACAAAAGAACGCAGGTCCCAACGGGAACGGCTCCCAGTTCTTCATCACCACCGTCCCAACGCCCTTCCTAGACGGCAAACACGTCGTCTTCGGTAAAGTAGTTGACGGCATGGACGTCGTGAGGAAGATGGAACATACCAAGACCGGGTACCGTGGGAAGGAAGTCCCGAATTTGGATGTGGTTGTTGCGCAGTGTGGGGAGATGTGATGCATGAGTATCCGTAGGTAGTATTCGCGACGATAGAGAGAAAAGAGGAAATTAAGCACACAAAAAAAAGAGATAATGATGACGAGGGACGATATAAGGATCTGTAGCTTTGATGAATGTAATAGCACGTACGAGACTTTTATACTAAAATCGCATAACGGATAAAATACTAGAAGACTATATATATACTCCAAAAAATAAAGAATAACCCATCCACGCCATCTAAAACTCTACCTCCTCCCTTGAAACCCCCCTAATCTCACCAACTACTAATACTACCTTACAAGTAACCCAATCATATCTCCCAAGATCTCCATCCAAAAACCCCCCGTTCTTATACTATATATAAATCCCGTGCCTAATCTCTACCTAGGCATTCTCTACGTACCATTCTCTAATTACTATTCTTAAATCTTAAAGGGAAAAAAACGGAAGTTTAATTTATATGTAGATTCTTAGGAATACTTGGCATACTTGGTATAGAAGGGAGATAAGGGAGATAAGGATTGATTGGTTGGTTGATAACTTTGAATCTAGATTCTATATATATAGACTGTATTTCTTTCTTTCTTTCTTTCTTTCTATTTAACGTCCGGCGGAAACTAACACCTAAAGGCTAGCTCCTAGTAGGATTCCCTCAAGGGATAAAGGACGCTAGGGGGGTACCCTGGGCTACATGGGGGCGTAAATGGAGTGACTACCTAAATACAAGGATAAGGTTAAAGAGAAACTCCACTTCCAGAGAGACCCTACAGACTGTATTTAGACAAGTACTTAATGATAAGATAGAGTAACTTGGATTCTTTCTTCGAGGATTAGATGGAAATGTTTCTTTTGTACTTGTCGAAGGAATCGGATGCAAGTTTGAATTTGTTGACTTGAATGGAGGTGTGTAGGGTAGGTAGATTTTATATCTATCGATTTCCTAATATTATGTATTCTAAAAGTCTTAGGTTCTTGGAATAAGCTACTGTATACCCAAACCCTACTCTACTCTACCCCAGATTCTAATCCTCAATCCTACAACTCTTCCGTCTGCTCCCCCTCCCTATCTCACTAAAAGTAATCGCCATCAAAACCCCCAAATAAAAATCGAGAGTTAACCATAAGATCCGTTGCTTTTGAGAAAATAGAGTATAACTTCTTACAATACCACAAAATTCACCACGTGCATCTTTATCCATCCGTTTGTCTCGCTGAACTTATAGCTTCCATGGGTACGTTCGAGAACGTTTGCTAAGCTATTAAGAAAATGAGATGAGATGAGAAGAGGTGGGTTTTATTATGTGAGTTTGAAGGCGGGTGGTTTGCAGGTTGGTATATGTCATTGATATATCTTGTGAGAGGTTTGGTTTAGAATGGTTACTATAAAGTACGTGGGATAGAGTAGGAAGAATGGATATTCTAAGTAGCACAAGTAGATATCAGACATGTAAACGGGTATTGTATCTCATTATAATGAATACCAACTAAACCGTCGTCAAAACACTAGCATTCTTATACCAAGACAGCAAAGGGTTATCCCCATTCTTCGTCTCCGTCTCCTCCACATACGCCCACCGCCTCAAAAACTCTTCATGAGTGAGGACTCGGGTGAGCTTGCCCGTGATGGCTCGATACATCTGTTCCATGACACAGAAATCCGTCGGGAACAGGATATCGAAATACCCCTGTTGGACCTACTTCTTGTTAGCCAACTTCACTGATGGTGTTATTTATAGGATGACTTACGAAAGGTGTTGAAACGGGGACGGTCCGACGACGATACCTCGTTTGGACGACTGGTGCGTTGACGCCTTTTATCGTATCTGGTAGATCGTGGAAATCACTCGTTACTAGTCGATGTGCGGGGAAGTATTTCTCTAGGATGTCGAAGAATTGCATTAATCTGGTAGGGATATATTCCGGAGTACTCAGATTCGGCGTAAAAGGAATGGCATTCCTCAAGGCTCCCAGGACTTTACTCTGGTTTAGAGGATGTGGATATCTTCCTCCTGTAGCTGCGTGTCTCACTCGCAAGAATCGCGAAGCGACTGGATCCAGTACCGGCGAGAAGAAATCGTAGAATTCCCCCTCGGCGTCGATGAGGACGGTACTTTGTAACGGCTCCTCGGTTTCGGGGTTGTATCGAATCGCGTCGTGGGCGAAATTATCAAAGACTTCCATGGCGAGGAAGAAACATGGTTCGGGGACGACTTGGTTCCATTCGAAGACGGATTTGTTTATGATTTCCACCTTGGAGGCGTGCCCTCTGGAATTCGCATTGCGTAACATGTGGGAAGCCTGGAGTCTCGCTAAACTTGTAGAGATCTCGATGATTTTGAATTTCGTCCGGGCGTAGACGTCAGGTTCGGTGTCTCGTATATAATCTAGAATGTTGAGCATGAGCGTTCCGTTTCCTGCTCCCATCTCGTAGATGATGAGGTCGTGGTATGGGAATTGCGACAACTTGTAGTTTTCCACTAGATATCTCGCAATTGATTCTCCATAATATGGTCGGAAGAGCTCGGTGGGCGTATGCCAAAGCTGTCGTGTCTTGTTCGGTTCCTTTGCATCCAATTCATCCTCGAATTCCGTATATCTCTGGCCCATCAAGCGGTGGAATTCCGCCTCGTCTTTAAGTTCATTGAAATTGAATGGCTCGCCGGGAGTGAAAATAACGGCTTGTTTCGCAAAGTATCCATATGAAGGATTATATAAAGAATCTGCCAGAGGGTTAAATTATGAATATAATCTCTCTGGGAACCAAATACCTTCAATAAAGTCTCTTGTCAACATTTTGACCCTTCTCGGTCGTTCTCTCCTCGCCCTCAGCTGGTCCGCTGTCACCATAGGGTATTTGTCGTATTCATTTTGCTTGTCCGCTGGGAATGATTCCATCCTCTGCTGCCAATGACTCTCACTTTTATCTACAGGTTGGACGGATTTCCGACTCGCCATACCTCTGATCTGCTGGCGGCGCGCATAGTGGGAGCGCCCTTGCACCGAGGCGCTGGACCGTAAAGCTTGACATGGCCGATGTGTGAAGAGTTGTCTAAACAACCGTGAGATAATTGGAGAGTCCATGGAATGTGGTGGTGTATCTCTGCTGATTGCAAAGTTTGGTGGTGGTCGCGAGAGCTTCGAGGTGGCCCAAGCTCTCGATATTGCATGGATTTGGTGATGAAGCATGAAACAACTTTGAACTGGATCACGAAATCCAAAAATTTCACAAACGATCTTGAAATGAATAATCCACGATGACGCAATGTCTATGAGCAATCATTCAAAAGCCTATGGCACTGCAGCCGTAGCGCTCGCCTTCGTGGCCGGAATTTTATTGACATTGGGGATGAAGGATGTTTATCCAGATTTGGAACGAAGATATCAAAGACGAAGAGGCCAATCGAGTAATCCTCTCGACTCCCGCCCCGGGAGTACGTACCTTCCCCTACCTCTGAAGCTTGAAGATCGTTCAAAAAGTGCAAGACAGTCCATGGTCGGTCTACCAGTTCCACCGATACCAGAAGGAATTGAAGGCTGCATTGGCAACACTCCACTTTTCAAAATCAAGAGCTTGTCTGAAGCCACTGGGTGTCTCATTCTAGCAAAAGCGGAATTTCTTAATGGAGCGGGTGGAAGTCCAAAGGATAGGGTGGCATTGAATATGATCAAGATGGCTGAAGAGGACGGCCTCTTGACGCCTGGACAAGGAGATACTATTTACGAAGGCACTGTGGGCTCGACAGGTATTTCTCTGGCCACCTTGGCTAGAGCAAAGGGTTACAAGGCTTATATTTGTATGCCCAATGATCAAAGTACTGAGAAGTCTGATTTGCTACATCACTTGGGCGCTACTGTGGAAAGAGTCACTCCGGCTCCAATCACATCCACGCAGCATTTTGTCAATCTTACAAGAACAAGAGCGAAAGAACATACCGCCTCAAGTAAAGATTCTAGCAAGGGATTCTTCGCTGATCAGTTTGAGTCTATGGCCAATCATCGAGCACATATTCAGACCACGGGACCTGAGATATTCCAACAAACTGGTGGACAGGTGAGTGATTCATTTCCATTTCACTCCTTCGAAAATCTATGCTAACAAAGTCTTCAGATTGATGCTTTCGTTGCTGGTGCTGGTACAGGTGGTACTATAAGCGGCATTGCCCTATTTCTAAAGCAAGACATGGGAATGGAAGATGATCTCAAAGTCGTCCTCGCAGATCCCGAAGGAAGTGGTTTGTACAACAAAGTCAAGCACGGTGTCATGTTCTCCAACACCGAGAAAGAGGGAACGAGAAGAAGGCAACAAGTAGATACCATCGTTGAAGGTGTAGGCTGCAACCGCTTGACGGAGAATTTCGAAGCAGGAAGAGAATTGATTGATGACGCAGTCAGGGTTACAGATATTCAAGCTATGAAAATGGCAAGGTGGCTGGTGGAAAAGGATGGCATCTTTGTTGGGAGCAGCAGCGCAGTTAATTGTGTTGCGGCTGTAGCAACAGCCCTCAAGATGCCGAAAGGGAGTCGAGTTGTGACAATACTATGTGATAGCGGGACGAGGCATCTCAGTAAGTTTTGGAAGAAAGTGGGTGAGCTTGGTGTTGAAGAGGAAGAGCATACAGACTTGGTAGATTTACTGGGGTTGAAAACAGAGAGATAATCGAATCACCAAATACTTCTTCCACGTGTCAAATTTTGCTTAATGTAACTCGTGTATAGCTCTAAGTATGACTACAAGGCAGGACCCCATGTCACCCGCGCTATCTACCTTCGTGAAACATTCCCACTTCCTATTGTGATTACATGTATTTTCTCTGATGCAATTACCGCGAAAGCTCATAAGCGGACTCGGTAGAAATGCACGAGGAGCTCATGAGGCTCTGTCCGCCACGCTCTTTTTTAATTCATCATAAAAAGATCTAGCATCACCATGCAGCGATCAACTCAACCCTAACTCCAAATCCATCCTCAAAAGAACACGAGAAGTAGAACGGTTCTGGAAAAATGCAGTAAAACTTTCAATTCGCAGACAAAGTTTAAGAAAACTATAATCGTTAGGGCATTCGGAGTAAGGAAGGATAGACAAAAACGTACCTTCCAACGATTACCACAAACTGTACACTCACAGAAGGTAGTCATCGGTTCATCTGCACTTCGAGTCTGAGCTTGACTATAACTGACTTTCTTCTGCTTGCATTGTCCGCATCTCAAAGCATCACTAATACTCTTCTTCGCGGTGGGTACCTCAGATTTTCGCAGATTTTCCTGTTCGAGAGACTTATCATCCTCAACTCTCTTGGCCGACTTCAACTCATCATCAGTCATTGTGACAAAACTCTTGGCCGAAATTTCTTCTGAGAAGACCTTCGTTCTCAGCTCCTGGTTGTCCTTGTTCTTTAAATTTTGAAAAAGTGAACGGAGTTTACTTCGGTATTCGGGGGTATCGCCTTTGAAGATATCCCATGCAGCTTGCTCGACGTGCTGTGCTTTAATAAGGATCTGAGTCGCAGGCTCAGAAGACATAAAGGCAAGGCCATTGTACATGAGACCGATGCAGCTATCGCGTGGTGGATTTTGGGTTCGCTTGATATCGACATTCTCGCTATTCCATCGTCGCTTTGAAACGTCACCAGTAAAACCTTTCTCAGCGGTGGTGGGTGCTGGAGCTGGGGAGGAAGCTGCACCGTTGGTGGGAGTCGAGTGCGCCATTGTCTTTTGCTTGTTCTGGCCAATTATCTTCTTCCACTTTGAAATGATCTCTGTTGCGAGCCTGGCGATATCTTTATTTGGGTTTCCCTTTTGCTTAGACACTATCATGCCAGCTTTCGTCGACTGAGCAGCGGATTGTTAGCTTCATTGCCTTTGATGGCACGTAATGCGCTTTGTGGAATGTGCATAACAAGGAGAAAGCCATACCCGAAGCAGATCCTCTGTTGGTACCACATCCTTCTTCAATGACTCCAGAATTGACGTAACGACATCCGCAGGCTCTTTGTCTTGTACCGCCTTCGCAAGAGACTTGAGTCGGCTATCTAGCTCGCGCTGGTCGATGCCAGACATCTTGAAGATGGTGGGCAGGGGAGGCAGTACTCGGAGGAGGATGCGCGCGAATTGTTGAGATGGGTTGCGGATATCGGTGGAGCTGTGCAAATCGATCGAGAGGATGCGCGAAGGCGGTGCGATGCGATGCAGAAATATGTGGGTGTAGGTATGGTCGTAGATGGGAAGGCGCAAAATATCTTGATGGAAGGCCGTGAGGTTTGATGTTGAGGAGGTTGATTTGGTTGCTCGAGCTCCAGTCGCGGCTTGATATGCTACGGTACTGTACCTCCGTATGCTTTTGCAGCCTCGTCCTTGCAGATGACGGGAGCCGCTGGCTAGGCTACGCACGTGCATCCTATTCTACCCCCCCGGCCAGAGGGGACGCAGTAGGTGCCGGTAGCCGCAAATCACTTCTACTCCGTACTGTGCGATCCGGAGTAGACAAGTAAATAGCTTGCGTTTTCATGTTTGGGTGGGATTTGCTTATTGTGCATTGTACAAGTACTCCGTACCCTTCTGTCTCGCTCTCTCACAGAGTCCTTTGCCAAAATAATCCCAAGACAAGTGTTGCTAGATGTTAGCTATGGCCATGCCCCTCGAATCACCACCTCCTACGAATTCAACCTGAAAATTAACTTGCAACCGAGCGATTAGGACGCCAATCGCCTACTTGCACGAAACCTCGCCAAGTACTGTTCACACACGCTAATGCAAGTCGTCCGGCCCCGCACGTGATAAGGCGATTGATCAAAATTCCAATCGAGTTCAGCCTTGAATCTTCCTCTCAGCCTTTTCAAACTTGACCAAAATATCTGTACAATTTTGCGCCGGCGCGTCTCAATCCACAACCAATGCCAGAACGATAGCAAGACCACCTCTACCGCCATAATGTCCTACGATCTCAACATACCATTTCTTTCTTCTACACCTACCCCCGAACTTGAACGAACAATTGCCTTTCTTGCCTCTCTAGGATACACCACCCTCGCCCTCTCCCAAACACACAACGCCTCTTCCCTCCCGTCGCAAGTAACAAACACCATTCCCCTCCCGCCGGTCCTCAAAACGCCCTCTAAAACAACAATCCTTCGCCGCTGTACCCTCATCCTCTCCGATCCGGCGCACAACCCTCGTCTAACAGTCCTCTCCCAATCCTACGACATGCTCGCCTTGCGCCCTACAACCGAAAAGGCATACCTCTCAGCATGTCTGTCGATGCCCGAGATTAGCATCATCTCTCTGGACCTAACGCAGAGATTTGGTTTCCACTTCAAGCCTAAACCGCTTATGACGGCTGTGAATCGCGGGGTACGATTCGAGATTAATTATGCGCAAGCGGTGCAGGGTGATGGGCCTGCAAGGCGAAATTTTATAAGTAATGCCATGGCTATTATTAGAGGGACAAAGGGAAGAGGAATTGTGATTAGTAGTGAGGCTACGGATGTGATTGCTGTGAGGGCGCCGGCTGATGTGTTGAATTTATTGGGAGTTTGGGGTTTGGGGAGGGAGAGGGGACTAGAGGCTTTGGGAGTAAACCCGAGGGGTGTAGTTGTCAATGAGGGACTTAAAAGAAGTGGGTTTAGAGGGGTCATTGATGTCGTGAATGGTGGAGAGCGACCTGTGGTTGAAAAGAAAGAAGGAGGAAAGGAATCGGCCAAGACAAAGACAAAACGAAAAGTCGAGGAGACGACGGTCGAAGGAACACCACCAATAAGCAAAAGACAAGCCAAGAGGATGAAGTTGGAAGCATTGAAAGCTTTAAAGGCAAACGCGTCCTCACAATCCCAAAAAGAAGGATCATCATCATCACAAATCAAAACTCAAATACAATCCAAAGCAATGACTTTAGATAGCACCTCGAAGCTAAAACCCAAAGGATAATGAGAGAATTAATTTTCGTGGACTCTTGATTCAGAAGTGAATGATATATACAACAAAGATTTCACTATCCCTATACCAGAGCTCCGCGTCGCCTGGACCCGTCCTCTGTCTATATACATATTTCGATCCACGCAGATTTCCCAGCCCGGGCTTGAAGAATAAAAGGAAGTTAAAAGGTTACGTAAAGCGCTTACATGGTATAATTCTGGAAGATACACTTTTTTTCCACCATTTCGTCTATTATTATCGGTGTATCTCGGACATAAGGAAATCCCCACTCTACTCTTTTCATACAACAGATCATCTTGGTGCAGCAGGCGCCGGCGTCGCCAAGCTCCCTAGTTGCAGAGTACTTGCAAGCGAGAACGTCCTGATGTCGATGGGAGCAGGTTCACCCGGCGGCACCAGTGGATTTGGACCTGCCACTTGAGGTTGGGCTTGCACAGGTTGTACTGCAGCCGGAGCTGGAGTTGGAGCTGGATCTTGCTTGACGAGGGCATCGGTTGTAAGAGGTTTCGTGGGCGCGGCTGGAGTAGCTGCATTTGGAGCATTTGCATTCGCTGGTCCCGCTTGTTGTTCTGGTTTTGGAGTTTCCTTTGCTGGAGCTGGAGTGGGAGCTGGATCTTGCTTGACGAGGGCATCGGTTGTAAGAGGTTTCGTGGGCGCGGCTGGAGCAGCTGCATTTGGAGCATTTGCATTCGCTGGTCCCGCTTGTTGTTCTGGTCTTGGAGTTTCCTTTGCTGGAGCATCTGCGCCTATTTGTATGTCAATACGTACTCAGAGAAAGAGAGAGATGTATATAGATATATATGTATATCAAGAATTATGTGAAAGTTCCACATACCTGGTTGCTTAACGAGAGCGTCCGTTGTGAGAGGTTTCGAAAGCGATCCGCCTGCAGGTGCTCCGGCACCAGCTGGAGCGGCAGCTGGAGGGGCTCCAGCTCCTGGAGTTCCTTGTTGGATAATAGCAGCAGTAGTGAGTGTTGATGGGCCTTGCGCTGCAGGATTTGGCATTGCACCCATCGCTGGAACACCGTTGACATTGGGCCCATTAGGAAATGATCCAACACCACAGAAACAACTACAATCGCATGCTCCTCCTGGTGTGAGCGTTCCTACTCCTGGTACGACCTGTCCAGGGGCACCAACTGGTGGTGTACCCGCGGCTACTTCAGTCAGTATTTTGTACATTTCACGAAGTTAAAGAAGTCAACTAACCTGTAGCGGCGGCAGGGGCAGGGGCAGGATTAGCAGCAGCTGATAATCACTGTCAGTTCTTGAATCTTCAAGTGATGGCTTGATGGACTCTTCTTACCTGGCCCTTGACTGACGAGAGCATCGGTGGTAAGTGGTCTTGCCGGCTGAGCTCCATTTGCTGGAGGAGGTGGAACAGCCCCTCCAGCAGCTCCTCCGCCATTTGTCGAATTTCCTGGAGCGGCCCCCCCGCCTGTCATATATGTCAGTATTTAAATGGACCAAGGAAGGAAAATCAATATACCTGCAGGAGAGGTTATATTTCCACCTTCATTTGGTTGGTTCCTGATGGGTCGATTATCAGCGGAAGGCTTATTAGCAAGCTTTGCTTTATGTGGTTCTGGTATCGCATGCTTTTGATTTGCCCCCGGAATAACCACTACGATTGCGTTCTTGTTGTTTTGGCCTAGCCCAACTGTAAACCTCTGTTCATCTGCTTGTGGTTGTCCTGCTTGTGGTGTGGCAGCGGCTGGGGCTGCAGTTATCCGTTCCGCGTTCCCTATATTTCCACTATTCGAAAGTCAGCATTGCCTACTGTATGTAGGTAGAAGACTCGATCGTTGCTCTCCTGCTTGGGTAAAAGTATAATATACAAAATGGCCGAAAACAATCGCATATTCTGTTCTTGGAAGGTTCAGAAGTATCAAACTCGTGATCTCTTCGAACACTTTCGATTAATGAATGCGATCGTCCCAGACAAGTTGAAGTATTATTACAGATGTGTCCACGTAGAGAGCGACGACCGAATCTCTCACCTGGAATCGACATTTCATACCCTCCTCCGACTCGAATAACTTGTATACCATTCGCCTTCACCACATTTGCCCCACCGCCTTCCGCCCGTACGCTCACACTGGCCACAGTAGCAACCACCAGCGACGATAATTTCGTGATATTCTTCATCGTTCCGACCCAAGCGCAAAAATAAATGTATCCAACAGACCAGCCGTATGCATCAAAGATAGTATTTGTAACGGAGCGTGACCGGCAGCTGGAGAAGAGAAGTCGTTTAGAGTTGAGAAAGATTGTAATGGACGACGACCTCGAAGGAACAGAAACAGGTGATTTGATTTAATCCGTGCATAAATGCATTGGCGCTCGATCGGAGAGTGGAACAGCCCGCGCAAAAAGGAGTGACGCTTATCTTCAACGTACAACGAACACCAATAACAGAGTTACGAGAAAAAGATGAGATGAGAAAGAGAAGTCAAAAGGGATCCAATCTGGCAGTCCCTCGCAAAGATGGCGTTTCGCAATACCAAGCCCTCGAAGTGGCACTCGCCAAGACGGTTAGGGGCCACTTCATATCCAGGTGCCGCGATGGATTAGGATTCACGATAGAACAAACCACACTGTGATGGGTTTGCCGACTGTCGCCAACACCGTCTCATGGCGGTCTCATGCACCAAAGAGCTCATGAAAATCAGCAGGATGGGGGGGCAAAGGTGATGTTTGAGGGCAACTTCAAACCCTCGTGGTTTCATTAAGCTCGACCCAAGCGAGCGAGCCCCTGAGATTGGGGCGTAGCCCACTGGTAGTGGATCCCTGTGTGGAAAACTTAAAACAACAGATTCGTACCTCTTGAACCTGGGTTTCCTCCGTAAGACGAAGAGGCTTAAGTGGAGGGGAATTCATACTTCCGAGTATATTTAGAACGACAGATGCTTGTTTCTATGGCAAGGGTTGGTTCAGTTTCGTTCGATTCGCCAGTATCCGACAACTCAGAGGCTCCGAATATGCCACTCAGAACGAAACGGAAATGGTTCGCATTCCGTATCCGGCCTGATTCGGCAATTTGTAAACTTGTAGAGCGGAGCGATCGTGCAAAATTCCCCGTCTTGGGATTCCGACAGGTCAGGTGAGGAGGTGAGAAATGGTGTGAAGGATGGCATGATGAGCGCAAAGTGCATTTGTAGGGGGGCTCTCTCGAATATTGAATCTGCTTTTCAAAGTTCCTCATGATGGACGGCGAATGCTTGATTTCACATCAGTCTCCATTATCCTCTTGTATGTACAGATCTCAAGTCATGAGAAAAGTGATAGAGGAACGATATCAAGGATGGGCCATGAAGCACTGAAGATCTTTATGGAAACCACATGGCAATCATTGAAGAAGGTTCACGCTTAAAACGAGATGTGATCTCGGATCAGCCCTGCGCATCGATGTCATCTGACTCGGAATAACATTGTTGCGAGTTTTGGGAATCCGATGACGCCTTGACTCTTCCTTTCTGCATCCTTCAGGATATTTCGTATGGTATGAGACTAGGACTCACACAGACCATGAACATAGTGCTCGGAACGTAGGACAGCAACGGACGTACAGATTACCCTCCACCGGTTGGACTGACGACAACTGCAATCACAACAGTTAAACAGTTATCCTGCAGTGTCACGTCCATATTCCATCAGAAGACCTTTCCTCAACTCGAGTTTGAACATCTCACATTCTCGAGTGCGCTCGGTCTTCTGCCACAAATGAAGGTCTACGTATTAGACAACTACTATTTAGCCATCACACTCCTAATTACCATCGCATATCAGCTCTTTTTCTTTGCAATTGCATGGCAGATGAAATTCGACAAGCTTACTGGTATTTCTATTCTACCGTCCCAACCTTCAGTCGGACGACACAGCTAACTCCACGCAGATTTCGCCGGCGGAACCAACTTCGTAGTCCTAGCCATCATAACACTCTCATTTAGTGGCCATGACAATGCTAGGCAGATCGTTGCGTCGCTGTTCATTATGATCTGGGGTCTCCGACTATCGGCTTTCCTACTCTTTCGAATTATCAAAACCGGAAAAGACGATCGGTTTGACGACAAGCGGGAAAAGTTCTTTCCTTTCCTCGGTTTCTGGGCCTTCCAGATGATATGGGTCTGGACGGTTTCGCTGCCCGTTACCATCTTAAACTCTCCCAACGTTACTCGATTTCCGCAACCAGCTTTTGGGACAGGTAGAGACATCGCTGGAGTTATTCTGTATGGAATTGGCTTGATTATGGAGACTGGTAGTGATGCACAAAAGTATATCTTCAGGTCTAAGAATCCAGAGAGAAAGGCGATTTGCGATACAGGGTTTTTCTACTGGTCGAGACATCCAAATTATTTTGGGGAAATCATTATTCAATTTGGTTAGTCCATCTAAGCCGTGCCTCTTTTTTCAATTTTCTGATATCCCAGGTATCTTCATGATTTGTGTTTCACCCGCAACCGATGGTGTTGTTACTGGTGGCGCATATCATGCTCTATACGCCAGCATCTTGGGGCCTTTTCTACTCACAATTCTACTCATGTTTATTTCTGGTTTGACGCTTCAAGAGAGGCCGGGAGCCAAAAAGAGATATGAAAAAAACAATAATTGGGAGGCGTATGCACGATACTTGAACCGCACGAGCATTTTAATTCCGTTTCCTCCTCAACTGTACGAGAAGATGCCCATTATCCTGAAACGAACGATATTCTTGGAGTTTCCTATATACGTGTTCGATCCGGCGAAGCACTCTTCAGGGCCAAACGAACAGAGTCGGGCAGAGGAGGGCACTGCAAGATCACATTCGCATGATGCTCGGAAAAGTGGGGATGGAGACCAGTTGGTGGGAGGACGGAGTTGAAAATCTAATATTGGGATGAGTAGGAGGTATTTCCATGACGGTCTAACGAAGATGTAATGTTATAATGAGCAAACTGACGATCAATGACTTGGTTTTTAGTATATAATTCAGAGCACCATTTCTTCTCCAACTGTCACGTTTTTGTGGATCTTTGTGATTACAAGTGGCTGAGGTCCAGCTATTTGAGTGTTACTACTCACTACCTAGTTTCTACCTACCTAGGCTCCCTATGTGCAAGAAAAGTGGCAGAGATACATTTTTAATTGGTATCGTAAGTTAATTCCAAGTACTAAAGTGGTTCAAATATCTAGAACAATTGCCTTATTGTCCGATTGTTTTCCACTAATCATTTTAATTGGTCCAAATAATTAACATAATATAATATAGTCTTTCATTAAGTTAGGCTAAGACAAAAGAAGCCTCTGGCACTTTTCTTGTCCACTAGGAGCTAGGCAGTTACTAGCCTCATACTATTTATACCACAGTGCTTATTTGTCGCTAATCGCGGAGCGGCCTCCCATTGGGGCGGGTCATTCAGGTGTCACCAATCAATCGGTTGTCCACCCCGCACCTGCACCTGGAGTACTGCAGTCATCTTCAGCTCTCCCCTTCACTCCTGCCTCTGCCTCTGACTCTGCCTTCTGCCGTCCGTCCTCCGATATCCTCCCCTCCACTCTCCGCTGTCAGTTCAGCTCAACACCACCCCACACTCACAGCATCGCAAATAATACCACCACGTTACTCGTCTCCAGAAGATTAGCTTGATATTGCTGGATCTCACGCTAGCTACTAGCTCATCCCTCACGCTCTTTCGCCACGATGAACGTCGCTTGCCAGTGCGGCGCTATCGTGTTTAAGACGCCACTGCCCAAGCCGTTGGCTGTCTACATTTGTCATTGCGATGAGTGCCGACGCCAGTCCTCCTCCGCATTTGGCTGCTCAGCGATTTTTCCCAAGTTTCAACTCCCGCCAAAGACATTGATGTCTTGCTACTCGTAAGTTGACCTTGCAGCTATCCAATCCCATATCGTCGGAAGATTACGGGACCTTTGTACTCGTAGGCGCGTCATTACTCTAACCTTAAGTCGCGCAACAACGGGAGTACACCTGCACCTGCAGGGTTACACAATGTCACGAGCTAGTCCACCACTTCCCCACAAACTGGAGAGAGAAGTACTGTTGCTGACGTTTTATATCACAGTCGCCCCACTGCTTCGGGTCACATTCTCAATTGGTAAGCCAATTATTTATCACTTCTTTGGTCGCCTCCACTTAAGTGGCCAAGGGGATACCAACCTTATTTCAACTGTCCTTGTCCCGTCTTACAATGAAGGTACTTGACTAACCTCTCAAAGCTACTTTTGCAAGACCTGCGGAACCCGTCTCATTCACTCCACTCCTGGAAAGGATGTAGTCTCTATCAAAGGAGGTTGCATTGAAGGTTTGGATTGGAAATCGGCTCGCCATATCTGGTGCAAGCGAGCTATGGTGCCAATCCCAGAGGGTGTGGAGAGAGATGAGGAAGAGCCACAGGAAGATATTGTCAACGACGACCCAACCAAGAACATGTTTTTGTTGAGAGGAAGCGGTGGAACGTCTAGCGATGAGGAGAGGAAGAAAGAAAGAAAGAGAGTCAGATCATGGAAAGGAAAGGAGAAAGACATCGACATGAATGGTGGTTTGGTGAACCGCAACAACTCTACTATCAACAGCTGGTCGCCAACTCCCAAGAATGGTGACGGCAGAAGAAGAGTGAGAAACATGGAACAGGAAAATGAAAAGGTCAGGGAATGGGGAAGAAATGTTGGATGGAACAGAGATGTTGGATTGAATAGGGAGGTTGAGGCTGAACTGGATAGGCGTCAAACTGATAAGGATCTTGGTCGTTCCCTGTCAAGAGACTATTCTATCAGAATGAAGCCAAATGATATCAATACTGGATTGGAGTTTAGATACAGCACAGAGAAGGACGTCGTTGGAGCCAACGGTGGAGAGACTTTGTCCTATTGAGCGGAAAATACCTGGGAGTTGTCAAGTTGACCTTGATGATGTTTGAAACTTTGGGCATTTGGGCTGGATGGAACGTACGGTACGATGGTATTTTCTACATTTTCTAATTCTTGGTACATCTGTTGGTGCCAGTAAAATTTTGTCAGATAGTGTAACTCAAATTTTTGTGGAATAGTCAATATATGATCAAAACATCATTTCTAGTCATCAACCTGGAATGCCCATACTCTCTAGTCTTTGCAATGCGTGATTTTCTAAGATAAATAGCTTTCACGTAAGTGTGCAGAATGATAACCCAGACTCTTACGTCATTTGTAAAATATCTTTTCTTTTTCTATTAAGATCAAATGAATCTTTGGTGATTGATTACTATTTGTTGTGTGGTTGTGGACAAAATGCAGCAGATGTTCAGTAATCATTACACAGTTGATATCTTCAACGGCTAGTTTTGCCGGGAATAAGCAAGTAGTAGGGAAAAGAATCGTACCTAAGCGAAAGGAGTACCTCCACCAGTATTGGTCAGCATCGCATTCTCCAGCTACTCTGACATTATCGCCGTATCTTTCATTCAGGAGATTTCCAAGCAAGAGCCGACTTTGGAGAAGTAGTAAAGGATTTAAGAAACATACGTTCCTGGTGTATTGCGTTCACTTACCAAGGAGCTTCTGTCTGCGTATATTACTTTGTATTGAAGATCATGGTTGAGTTCTTGTATCCCAAAACTCGCTCGTCTAAGAGGGAACGTGTTCCTGTCTCTTGCACGGAGTGTCATCGGCGAAAGAAGAAGTGTAATCGCCTCTTGCCTTGTAGGGATTGTAGTGATCGTGGTATACCGCAGCTTTGCCGGTATATGGAGTCGAGGTACGTATTATACGACTGAATTTCGTGAAATCATTGATCACTGATCCTCTCATAGTATCTCGAATACCCCCGGTGTTACACAGGCTGCACGAAGCGCAGTCACCAACCGACGGTTCATCACGGACCTGCAGGCGGTTCCTATCAGTTTAGAGTCGATTGACGAATTAGCTGGGTTTTCTGAGACGTTTGGTTCGACGTATTTCCGGGATGAGATATTACCTGGAAGTGGGTACTCGTTTGGATTCGAATCTCAGAATGGGGAACCTTATCGTTCGTCAAAGGGCTATGGCTTGGCTTCTACATTCTTCAAGTGTCCACAGGAGTTCTCTCTGGGCTTTCCTACTGTTACGAGTGGTGTGCTTTCGAATCGGAAGATTCGTGTTCCCGGGGGGATCAGTCAATATTCTACGTTACCGAGTATACCAGGTGAACCGATGCCGAAGGAACTCCTCATCCATTACTGTACGTCTCACACTTCAAATTCCTGATACCTCCAATATTCGTTAACACTACATAGTCATAGCCCGTCTCGTCCCCTGGCTCAGCTACCTCGACACCACACTAACACCCACCTCCCCGCGCCTCGCCTGGCTCCCCTTCGCCATCTCCCACGCCCCCCTCTTCCACGCCACACTCCTCGCCGCAGCAGTCCACCTAAACCGGCGGAAACCACTCAAAGATCCCGGCGCGCTGACATGGTATAAGCTCCAGACCATCCAGCATGCGAATGACGTGTTGAACACCGGAACCGTGGAGCAACAGGCGAGTGATGAGATGATTGTTGTGGCGCTTGTGTTGTTGTGTTTTGATGTCCGGGAGGTGATTTGTACACAAGAGTTTGAGGTCCATTTGAGGGGTGTGGCTAGGATGGTTGAGGTTAGGGGGGGACGAGGAGGGTTGGGGATGAGGGGGATTGTGGGGAATATGTTGGGGGTTTGTTATGGGCCTTGGATTGAGGGGTGGGTTGAGGGAGGGTTTTGATTGACTTTGTGGGGGGGGGAGAGGTATGGTTGTTTCTATGTGAC